TTCAATCCCAGTCCTCATGCATGTCTCTCTTTGTTAACACACCTGATTCAGATCATCATCTTGCTAGAAGTGAGCTCCGTGCATGAACTGTGTTCCGATTGGCATGGTCCCTACACAGTGTGCATTGCTCCCTACTCCCTGAGCAGGGGAAATCCATTGAAGTTTACTTCACTTCGGAATATTCATTTACAGATTTGCGCCGCTGCCTGCAGCGTCTTCACACACAAACGAAACTTACTAGAGAAGCGTGAAGTGGGACATAATATACCTCTGTAAATAAATACAATTTAAATTCACTTCTCGCACACTTAAATGCCCTTTGTATGGAACATATACGCTCCCTTCAAAGTGGAATCATGGAGGAATATCCAGTAATGTCCACTTCACAGGGCACTTACAGTCAAATATAGCAAACGTATGAAGCAATAAGAGAAACGTACAAAATGTGCAGAGCGGGGGTACGCGATGACTGGAATTGAGAACCGCTGTTCTAGACATGCCAAAAATTTGAGGCTACAGCACAGCAGCCCTTCTTCTTAGTTTTCTCTGATGCACGAACTCTGCAACAGCTCTTCTTCTTCGTCATCTTGTCTCATGCGCTCACTCAACCAAGCGTTCTAACCACGACCTCGCCCCTCCCCACCCCCCAACTGTTCTAATTTCTGTAGGCGGGAATTCTTTGTAATGAAATTCTAATGAGCCGCTTTGTGATATCATAAAGCCCGGAAACCAAATGCTGTAGTCCAAACGAGCCGTTTGCTGTAGTTTTTGAAAATAGATTTTTTTAAAACTAAATATCTCCCTTTGGAGTGGACTTTGAGATTTGTAACTTTCTAGATCTTTTTTATGCCCAAACATACACACTACACACTGACTAAAATTTAAAAAGTGAAAAAGCATAATAGGACCCCTTTAATTACTTTATTTTCACTGACTTGAAAAGTTATATGGGTTATAAGATATTAAAACCTATTTGATCAAATAATGTAAGGGGGTATTCGTAGATAGTAGATTGGATAGTAATCCAGTCGATCAAGACATATCAGTTGTAAAAGTGTAAATGGGCTTTAAGACTGTTACAACAACTTACAGCTGACTAACGTTAGTTTAGAAGGGTGGGGACAAAATCGTATGATCTGGCAACGCAGATGTAATGTCTGATAATGAAGTCGTCAGTCCCTCACAGCTTTTGTCTGCAAAATATGCAAACAAAAAAAGCGGATGTTATGCATCAAAGGGCACCGCATCATTCCAATTTTGCATAGAGGGTTGCAAAGATTTGGTCTGTCTCTCTGTCAACCCGCACAGGAAATGCAAGTCATTGACTGTATGTTTCTTTTTCTCTTCAAACGTCTGTCTCAGAAGTTACATTGTTCTTTTATCTGCCGTGTCTAGAGCCACTATCTTCAGTGTAGTACTTAAAAAAAAAAAAAAACCTTCACTCAGTCATTATGCTTCGTTTCTCAGTCCTAAAACCAGAGGCCCCCAGTGTGGACAAGAAGCAACCACAGTCACGGCCTGAAGATAAAGGTAAGAGAGTGTTCACTGCCCAGTTCCTTTTGTACCACAAATTCTTGTATGCCAACTCTGGTGACACACAATGTCATGAAGAATGAAAAAGCAGAAATTGATGTGTAGTTCTTCATATTGGTTAATTTGAAATAACTAATATCTGTTAATACCCACCCCCCTTCCAAAAAAATGTCATGCCGTTAATTTAATTGATTGTGAATTTATTTTTATTAATTTATTCATTTGCTAAGCACTTTTTTTATGAGTCTGTGTAACCGAAGAAGAGAATCTTTCTTGCTTATTTAGGCATGCTTTCAATCAGGAACTGTTGTAATGCTGTCATTCCAGCTTCATACCCAATCTTCACTACAAACAAGCACTGCGTCACAATGCAACTACATTGCTAAAGCCACAAGCTTTGTGTACAGCAAGAGCCTGACATCACAACCCTCACGATGTAGACAGCTTCGATGATTTTGATAAATTGAGTTATTTTAAATAGATTTTAGAATAACTAATTTGATTATTTAAAAAGAGTGTTTTTCTATTAGAGGTGATTATTGTTGTTATTATCATTTTAAACAACCGTTCAAAAGTTTAGGTCAGTATGATTTTTATTTTATTTTTATTTTTTTTAAAGAACATTTATTTAATAGCTATTTAAGAAATTATTTTATTCAGCAGGGATGTATTCAATTGATCTTAAGTGACAGTAAAGACATTTATAATGTTTCAAAAATATATATATTTCAAAGAAATGCTGTTCATCTGAACTTTCCATTCATCAAAAAATCCTTAAAAAATGTGTCATAGCTTGCACAAAAACATTAACAGCACAACTGTTTTCAACATTGATAATAATAAAAATGTTTAAGCAACAAATCAATGTAATGGAATGATTTCTAAAGGATGATGTGACACTAAAGATTGGAGTAATAACTGCTGAAAATTCAGCTTTACCATCACAGGAATAAATATAAAAATTTCAAAATATTAGAAAAGAAACCTATAAATTGTTATAATATATCACAATGTTACAGATTTAACTGTATTTTTGATCATGTATATGCAGTCTTGGTGAGCATAAGAGATGTTAAAAATCTTACCAACCATAGACTTTGAACAGCAGTTTTATAGTAAAAAATTATACACACAAAATGCCATTTAAAGTTTACATCTGCTGGAACTGACAGTATTAAATAGCAGTTGATCTGCATAGTCTGGGTCCTGTTGTTTTCAAAATTAATACTTTCATTGTATTCTTTCAAATATAAGAAAAATGGACATTACAATGGAAATTTACCCAAATACTGAAAATTTATATTGTAAAATCTAGAGCTTATGACTTGCAATCAAATTGAAGCAGGAAGTATATATCGATACTCAGCCTTATTTACAAAGTTAATATAGCTTAATATAGTTAATATAGCTCAAGGCGTGTGGGGGTCAATAAGGTCGTCTGGTGTGTGGACTCTCAACACGGTTAATGAAGTACTTCATATAATATTTTACTTTGTAGGAAAAATGTCATTCACTCTGACCAACAGCCTCTCAGAGTATCTGCTATTGTGTTGGCATTGTGTAGACTTCCTGACAATTATTTTCTCATATGAATGTACCTCTTCTGGAACATATATCTGATAATCTCTGTGGTATCTGAAAGCAGGACTTCCATGTTTTTCAGATAGAAGTCTCTCTTATTTCGAGCAAGTGTCACAAATTGAACACAGGACTTGCAATGTGAATGTCAGAAAGAGTGATTGATATGACAAAAACATTGAATTGAGAAGATAGAAGCAGATCAATGTGGTGCAAACATCCTGCCAAAATCTCTCCTGACCTACTTTGAGACACGCCACTGTGAACAGTTTCCAAAGTAATTTGGACCAGTTCAGAACATTTAGGTGCATTATGCATTACTGGATTGGCTTCCATTCTCAAGACTTTCAACTGATTTCTGAAATTGTGGGCTAAGAATCAATAGAGATACAACTGGCATGTTTCAAATAATTGATAGTTATATGAATTCCTATTATCAATTGTATTAACCTTATTACAATATCTTGCATCTAGATAATTAACTCTCAGAACCTTATAAGATACAATGCTGTGCATAAGCCTTGTGTCTCGCTACGTCTGGGTAGACATTTATTATCTCAAACATATATAAACATCTATATTTGTCCTCTCTCTCTCTAAAGTTGTCAAGCCCTTGCCTGAGAAACCCGCCAAACCTGCTGGCCCCATCGTGCCCCCGAAAAAACCTGTGCCTCCAAGCAAGGGACTGCTACGTCCTTCCATCCACACAAAACGACCTGACTTGCCTCTCATTCCATCACCAGCCGCCAAGCAAGTGTTGGTGTCACAAGCTATTATTATAATATTAAACCAAAAACAATAATTTTATTATTATTTATATTTATACATGTATTTTAATAATGTATACATAAAAATGTATACATATATTTATATCGAAAAATCTGTATTTTCCAGTATATCAGTATATTTCTCTTTTTGCCATACTGGGTAAAACATGGTAATGTTACTCTGAGCTTGTTGCAATGCATTATTCTTTTATACAGTATGTGATACCTTACATCTTCAATCAAATATATATATACAGTGGGGCAAAAAAGTATTTAGTCAGCCACCAATTGTGCAAGTTCTCCCACTTAAAAAGATTTGAGAGGCCTGTAATTTTCATCATAGGTATACCTCAACTATGAGAGACAAAATGAGAAAAGAAAATCCAGAATATCACATTATAGGATTTTTAAAGAATTAATTGGTAAATTCCTCGGTTTTTTTATGTAGAGTGTGACAGTGGACATTGTGGGCAATCGTTATAACTTTTCCTCATAAATCCCACAGGCAAAATGGAGAAGTTCCCCTTATACAAGCAAAGCCAGAGTGCGAGCCTGTACCCATCAAGCCAAAAACTGTTGTGGACAGCGATGAGAACAATTCTGAAACGGGTAAGTTGGTTTTGCTGATTTTGGTTTGTATTGACCGTCATGTGGCAACAAAACCATAAAGTAGTTTAGAATTGTTTGCAGGAAAAATAGGCCCAGATCACTCTGCTTACACATATAACAACAAAACATATAAGAACTGGTGTGCTTTTTTTTTGACTATTTTAACTGAAACTCAGCTGCGACCCGCCAGTTGAGAAACACCAGCACAGAGGCCATAATGTTAGTGTTTGGAATGGCTTTGGTTCTTGTTAGCTCAATTTTCTCAACTCGGTTTGGGTGTAAAAGAGCTGTGTTTGTGGATTAGCACCATGGATCCCTTGCTGGGAGCAGGATTACTCTTCCTGCACAGAGGGTGGTGGTCCAGATCTGTAGAGCAGGTTAAAATGTTCAAATTACCTGTGAAAGATAAAAGAAGTGACTGATCAATTATTTCTGTTCAGTTGCCTTGGGTGCCATCTTTACATTGTTGTTGTTTGGGGGATTTTTAAAGAATCTCTTTAGAAGTCATTGGCAAGTTATTTTCGAAGACCCTGATTTGAATCTTGGCATTCTTTAATTAAAACGGCTCAGTTCTGAATCAGTCCCTTAATCCCTTAACTATCAATCTGAGAAAAGTATTTTCGACTGTTAAAAGATGTCAGCTACTATGAATTATGAATCTTATTTTCTTGTAAATATTTTAGACATTTGATACACTATTATAATCACTGCAGTGTAATTAAAATCTATTAAATTTCCTGATAGATAAGTGCAACTAATCTGTCAGCTCAAACTTATTCTGACAAGTTCCAGTTAGTTCTAGCTGTTTGTATTGAATTAGTTCTTATGCATTACCATACTGTGATAGACATGTTTAAATGCAGTAGCACTTATAAGCATACTGGAAGATGTTTACCTTGTAGGCACCGTATTTTATTTGGAAAATGTCTACAATCTGCTTTAAAGTCGGAAATAGATGAAAATAAAAAATTTTAAAGAACATTTGTCAAATGACATTTGAATTGATCCTCTGTATGTGGACACAAAAACACCAAGATGTTGCTTCAGGCTGAAAGGTTGACAAAAGTAGCACCAAAGCTGCTATAATCGCATCTTTTCGGAAGGTCATGTGCATGTCACTGCAGCAGGGCTCTGAATTCTTTTTAGACACTATCGGAGGGAGAAAATCATTAAATTCGGTTTTGGCACTTCTGGATACTGGAAACCATGAGAGACATTTTACACTTCATGGAAATCTTTTGTATATGGTCACTAGTGGTCGACCGATATATCGCCCGATATTTGGCATTTTTCAAATATTGGCATCGGCCGATACGTTTTTCTGTTTGGCTGATGCGTTAGTGGCGGGACTTTTAATTTGACGGAGTGCTGGACTTCTATTTTGACGGCGCTGAGAACGGCAGTGCCTGAATACAGTGCTCACATTCTCCCTCTTGTTCGCTGTCGTCGTTAACAGTTCTGTCCATGGACAGAAGTTAATCTAATAATCAGATAGAACTGTTAAACAAAGTAATTAAAATGTATACAAAAAAGTATTATAACGATTGCTTATATATTGTTAGTAATAGAAAGGCAAACATGATAATACTTTCTCGTTTGCCGTCAGCATTCAGCAAATACGCGTCTATATAATTTACAAATAGACAAACTTTAAACTCGTGATTTCAAATTATGCTGTGCTTCATGCTTTTGCCCAATGTCGTATTTTCGCTGTGTGTAAAATGAGTGTTACCTTGGCTTTATTTGAAAAAATGTGATTCCCAATGCACACAAACTTCCCAGAATAATTTTAATTATGTTTTTATTAAATATTTGTTTATTTGTGAAAAATACTTTGTCATTTAAAGTATAAGCATATTTATTTTACACATTTATTTTTTACATTAATTTCCAAATGATTTCAAATGTCTTAAATATTAAATAAAATTATATCGGCCATCGGCCACCCTGCTTTCCAAGATATCGGCATCAGCATCGGCTGTCAAAAACCAATATCGGTCGACCACTAATGGTCACTGCTTTTTACCGTATTCACAAGATAATCTGGTTCTTTATTTATTTATTTTTTTGTGTCCGCAATCTCTGAGATACCATCCAAAGGGTGAATAATAGGGTAAAATTGTTAGGTAGGTAACGGTGGGAAAATCCATCAGACAGAATTTTAATGCCAGATTTTAAGATATTAAACTGACAGCCACACTAAGATGATCGATCGGGAATTTTTCGAACTTTGACACAATCTTTATATAACCATCATCACTCAGTCAGGAATTGTAATTTCCTGCTCTGTTGGGTTTTGATCTCGACAAACTTACTTTTAAACTGGCTAATGTAACTGCGAACGAATTTTTTTGGCTCATATATAACTTCAAAATAATAATTCAGCTGAGATGGAACATGTTTGACTGTGTGACTAAAGGCTGTTCTATGTTTGAACTGAATCTTTTGTGTCTTATTCCCATAGTTAATCTCATCAGTTTTGACGATGTCTCCTCTACCTCGGAGAAGTTAACCCACCCTACCGCACAGCGACCAAAGATGCCTGGCAAAAGACCTCCTGGTCACAGAGGCCACTCCGTGAGTATAAGACACACTTTTGCTTAGTTGCCTTGGGCTCTGATCTCTGAGTTTAATACAAAAAAAACTACTGAAAAAGTCATAGATAATAACATAAAAATTAAAAACATTAATTTAGCACATTCATTAAGTGATATCCTTCCACTTGGAGATAAAACATATTGCACCAATTTTCATTAAATTTTTCATTTTATTAAGAAAACCAATTAAATGTGTTTACCTAGAAGAAAACGTAATATGGTATAATTAAAAAAAACATTAGGTGACATTCTCTGTATTGACCAGTCCGCATCCATAACTGCTACAAAGAAATTTTCAAATTTTTGGTTCAGAGAATTGTTGTTAGTTTATGTGTTGGTACTTTTTAGAGTTTACAAAATGTCATGGGTGAAATCAGAGATGGTCCTTAAAGGGATAGTTCACCTTCAGCTGCTGGTCCCCATTGACTTGAATAGTGTGTTTTTTTTCCATGCTATGGAATTCAGTGGGGACCAGCAACTGAAGGTGAACTATCCCTTTAAATCATAGTCCTGCAGGATGAGTAAACCAGTATCTTCTAAATCTCTTTGTGCTACCATAAGCACTAACAATTATTTTTTGATTTATTACATCTATTTTGATTGACAAAGAAAAAAAATTCTTATAATGTGAAGGGTGGCATAATGGGTATCAGGCAGTGTTTTTGTCTGGATAAAAAAGGCCTTACAAATGAAATCCCAGATGGGATGCGTGTCAAGTATAGTGCTATTCACGCTTTTCTCTTCCCATGTTTTTGTAACATGCTCTGTAACGTCTTGCAGCCGAGCAATGAAATTGCTGAGAAAGTGGATGAAGTTGACTCTGCATCTTCCACACAGAATTCGCTCAAGGTACCTCAAATATATAGTACACAATTCACACAAAGAAGATACTGTAATTTACAAGTTTAGAATGACATGTGGGCAAATAAATAATGACAAAATGTACATTTTTGGTTGAACTCCATTCTGTAATTTCTGAATCAAGCTAACCAAAAGAATAACAATTCCCCAAGATGCCTGTGTCTCCTTGAAAATACGTCCCATGAAATTATGTTTGTGAGATAAACAGCAACTCTGATATGATCTCGACTGAATGTCTGGCTCTCCTTTTTAAATGAGTCTTCAGTCCTGAGGACTTATTTTAATATTTAGTGTTCTTTATGTTAAGCTTATGTGAAGTCGACTGAAAAAACCCTGTCTGGTTTCACACAGATGGTTCTCATATTTGGAACATTTGCACACTGTCACTCTTTTCAGAAATAAAGAGAAGAAAGGGATTGATTGTGCACTATCGATTGTACTGTATCATCTGAGTCATGTTTGGGTGTCTTGTAGTTATATATATATATATGTGTGTGTGTGTGTGTGTGTGTGTGTGTGTGTGTGTGTGTGTGTGTGTGTGTGTGGTGAAAATGCTGTATCATCTGAGTGATATTTGGGTGTGTTGTAGATATATATATATATATGTGTGTGTGTGTGTGTGTGTGTGTGTGTGTGTGTGTGTGTGTGTGTGTTGTGAAAAGTAGTATTGAAAATACAATATTAAGTTAATAGTTATTACAATTTAAAACAATTTATATATATATATATGTATATATTAAAATTTTTTAAATTGTAATTACTATTAACTTAATATTGTATTTTGTAATTCTATAAATTATATCTAGTTCTATAAAGTCTATCTAATTTTATAAAGTATATCTAAATATTAATGCATGATATCTAGTAACAGTTAGTGATATTAATAATAATGATATTAATGATTGATATAGGAATTTATGCAATATTATAATTAATATATTGATGCATTATTTTATTCACTTTAAATATTGTCACACAAAGCAAAATATTTTGATTTGATGTGTATGTGAAAGATTAATCATAGAGTGCTCTGCATTCAGAATGCACGCTATAAGTGAATCACACTTTGGATTAACTCGGACCAGACCACCTCCTGAGTATGTGTGGTGTGATTAATATCTCACATTTTTAGCCTGAGAAATGTTTCATTTCATTACACTTAAGTGGAATGATTAATGTTCCTCCTAAGCAGAAGTTTTCAGCAATTACGAACATGACGTCAGTCTCTCAGCTGGAAACACCTTAGAGATTGGTTTGAGGTCATCCTTGTAAATCAGACTATCAGGGAACTAGTTTGGAAATAAAGTTTATAAAAGATAAGGGTATTTCCATTCCCTAACAGTTGTATTGTTTGCTAAACACATGGCATTTAGTAATTTGCCGTTTTATACTAATTGATACACTGGGTTTTGTTTTTCTTGCAGACATTTGTCTCATCACCCTTACCATCTACGGTGCCTAAAACGGTTTTAGCAACCCATATCACCCCTGAGCCCAAACCAAAACCTGACAAGGAAGAGGAGAAAGGATCTGAACTGGAGGAACTGAAGGCTCAGATAAAGGACCTAGTGCTGTCTATAGAGTTACTGAAGGCACAACAGTCGTAAGTGATAGTTTTGGTTCATGCTGCTTGTTTTCTTGTATTCTGTTGTGGTCGAGTTATTATGTCTATAAAATATAATGCACAAAAGCTGTTTATCCACATTTGAAATGTCATCTCATTTGTACATGAATTATTTAGAAATCACTTATGAGATAAAGGTTGAAAACCTCTGTTGATTTGCGTAATTCTATACCCTCTTTCATAACTTTGCAGGAGAGAGCTCAGTGAACTCCGAAAAGAGCTGGATAATGAACGACTCAAACGAATGGCCCTGCAGGTAAATTGATCTTTAAATCAGAATTTCTCTTTACGGCTTGTCAGAGCTTGTTCGTTTGATGTAAACGGATGTCATAGTGCTGTTTCTGAGGGCAGTGAAATGCAGGCAGGATACCTTGGGTTTGCTTCCACACTCAGCAGGGTGAACACAAGGGGTCTGACTCGGCTCTGAGTCTCCTGCTGAGTGTTTCTCACACTCACTGAACATAAAAACTAACAATACTTTATCTAAAGTCCACTAGCCCCCTACTAGCAACTAAGAGATATGGCTTCACACAAAACCCAAGGTATCAATTGTGGTGATTGAGGTGATCTGGAAAACAACCAGGAACTCACCGTGCATTCAAAACAGTCCAACCGAGGTGCGTAGACCAAAAAAGTATTCCAAAAGTAAAACACTTGAAGAAAGTCTGCACACTCCACCAAAAAAAGAAGAGTTCAAATGTGAGACAAAAGCAATTTACTGAAAACACAGGGCAAACGTTTCTGTAAGGTTAACGTGAAAGTGATGTGACATGTAGCCAAGTATGGTGTCCCATACATTGGATTTAACCCATCTAAGTGCTACTCACTGCTGTCCGACTCTTTAACCATTAGGCCACGACTTCCCTCAATGTGACCTTTAGCCGCTTTTCCACCAAAATTACCTGGAACAATTTGTCCCAGGAACTTTTTTCCCCCCCAGACCTGCTGCTGTCTGCGTTTCCATCACGGTCTAAAGTACCGAGAAGATTAGGCAAATAGTCTGGTGACGTATGTCTGTGCACATTTCTCAATACCAAGTACGCAAATTTTGGGCTTGCATCCTCGGTAGTTCGGACTTCGCAAGTTCGACTCGGGGGTGTGAACTCCCGCGGACGGGATGACGCAAGTCCTGTAATTCTGCAAACAGCAGCGTACTTGATAACGTCAGTCAGCTCGCCTTGGCTACTGCAATTTTCCGCACTGTATTTACAATAAGACGAAATATTATATCATACACCAATGCCACTTTTCGTTTTCATTTAAAAATATTAATAGCTGCAGAAATGTAGTTCAGAGAACATACATTACAATGAAACGAAAGATTATATTGTCTCTTTTCATTTTCATTTGAACATATTAATAGATTAACAGAATAAACACCAAAGATTACCTGTTAGATTTACCCAAAATGAATTATATCTTATGTTTAACCACTACAGATACATAAGAGCCAGCGGCAAATGTCAGAAGGACTAGCCGGCTTCTCTCATCGGGAAACATAAGCACTGAGTGCCCGCTGATCTTGTGGAGCTCACGTCTCCGAAATCGGCGACGCACATTTTCAAATAGGCGCTGTCTTTATAAATAAACCGCAGATTTGTGTTTTAAACAACTACATTCTCGCCTGAAATACTTTTACAACTACATTTCTTGACACAATAACAGTAATATTTTTTAAAAATTATGCAAATATATGGTGGTTGAAATGCAATGCTGCGTGAACTCAACCAATCAGCATGTTCAGCGCCCAAGTCCCGCCCCCGAAAGTTCCGGACCTTTGAAAAAGTACTACCTCGCGAGCAGGGACTTTCTGACTTTTCTTTTTTTTACCCGGAACTTTATTAAGATCCTGGTTCCTGCGGTGGAAACACACCGAGTACCTGCCCAAAGTCCCTAGTTCCTGGGGAAAGTTCCTGCGGTGGAAACGGGGCTTTTGTCAGTGCCAAGCTAACAATGCTGAAAGTAGGAGCCATTTTGATTTAAGAAATGATCTCTCATAATATATATACATTTAAAGCATATTATGATGTTTTAAATGTATATATATTGTGAGAGATATTTTTTTGCATATACAGTATGTCTTTATAACCTTATATTCATTGATAAATTTTGTAATTTAGTATGTTGATCCATTTTTATTTTTTTGGTATGTTTAACATTTTCTTTGGATTATTTGTTAGTGCTTGGTTTGGTTGATCATGTGATCTGTGTAACCATGTGATTTCTTAAATCAAGATGGCTCCTACTTTCAGCAATGTTAGCCTGGCATTGACAAAAGTCACGTGACCAAAATGTTTCCCCTGTGTGTTCAGTAAATTGCTTTTATGTCGCATTTCGATCGTAGTTGATCCCTGATCCATATGGACCAAGCAACCACGGTTCTGTACACATGTGATTTGCGGATTATTTGCTAAATTTAACCATAATAGAGTGAAAGTTTATCATTTGTATGTGTTATGTCTTGCCAGTTTTCAAATTCAAGTGATTTTAAACAATTTTAGGTCAAGAAGAGGTGAAAGAGAACTCTATTCAGTTACCCGCATGCTGTTTTCTGTTGAGTGTTGATTAATCTTTCCCATCTCCATGAGTTTCAACAGACACGTAAACATAAAATTGTCAAAATAACCGTCTTGGCAATCATTCTCATAAATGCAGTCGGTTATGTCTTACAGGAACGAAAAGAGCTGAGAACGAAATCGGATGTGTATCATTATATTGGATCCATGCATTCAGTCTTAAAGGGACAGCAGCCTATAAATACTTGAAGCTGTCTGTCATAAATGCTAATCAAACAACAAAACACACTTTAACAAAGATTAATCTATATTTAATTTATACAGTTAACACTATGCAGTGTTATTTGCACTTAATTATTACATTTCTGTACCTGAATACTACTGTTAGACCTTATTTTATTTGTAACTTTGCTATATTGTATTTATGCTTGTAATCTGTGTATTTGTTCTTATGTATGTATTTATTTTTACTGGCTGTTCATTTGCCTTTAATCATGATTGAACTTTCTTAGTTAGGCTATAGTTTTTGCTGTGGTATTAAAGAAGTACTTAAATTGTGCTTTAAGTAATAAATTGAAAGCAAAGTTACATTGATATAAAATATTTTTTTCTTGCCGATCCAAAAAATGATCTGATCAGTGACACAAAAACCGCAATATATTCCAAACTGTGAGTTTTGTGATCCTTTGAACCACTACTTGTAAAATGTATTTATATACCCAAAATAAAATAGCTTTTGACTTTTAATTAGTTGCATTTTTCTAAACCACCAAACCCACACTTTTTGTGTACTATAATTTTTTTGTAAGCAAGACATTAATTTTTTCTGAATTGAATTTCAATTCAGTTATTAAGCTTTTTCTGTTATTTTTGAAAATGTAAAAATGTAGTTCTTCAAAATGTAGATGTTTGCCATTTGTTGAGCTTTTTTGGTTAACTTCATTGTAAAATGTTTCCTCTGTAACCGTCTGTTTACGTATGTAAGACATTAGAGAAATGGTCAACCCAAAAATGAAAATTAGCTGAAAATGTACTTTCCCTCAGGCCATTCAAGATGTACTGTAGATGAGTTTGTTTCTTCATTGGAACAGATTTGGAGAAATTTAGCATTACATCACTTGCTCACCAATGGATACTTTGCAGTGAATGGGTGCCATCAGAATGAGAGACCAAACATCTTATCAAAACATCACAATAATCCACATAAATCCAATCAGTCAACATCTTAAGCTAAAAGCTGTGTGTTTATAATAAACAAATCCATCAAGACGTTTTTAACTTCAAACTATTGCTTATGGCTAAAACACGAGTCCTCTATCCATAATATTGCTTTCTCCAGTGGAACAAGTTGTCTCGTCTGAATCAAGAAAGAATTTTGATATGATAGGACAGCAAGGGATGGACATTTTAAACTGGAGGAAGTTTTATTATGGATTATGATATGGTATTTTGGCCTGAAATGTCAGTTTAAGGTTCAAACGTACGAATATGCAGCTTTTTACTTAAGATGTTAATTGATGAACTGGAGTTGTGTGGATTCTTGTGATGTTTTGTTTGGACTCTCATTCTGACGGCACCCATTCACTGAAGAGAATGCGCAAGTGATGTAATGCTAAATTTCTCCAAATCTGTTCTGATGAAGAAACAAACTCATCTTCATTTTGGATGGCCTGAGGGGGATGTTCAATTAAATTTCATTTTTGGGTGAACTATTCCTTTAAAGGGGTCATATGATGTTGCTAAAAAGAACATTATTTTGTGTATTTGGTGTAATGAAATGTGTTTATGCGGTTTAAGGTTAAAAAACACATTATTTTCCACATACTGTACATTATTGTTTCTCCTCTATGCCCCGCCTTTCTGAAATGCGTAGATTTTTACAAAGCTCATCGGTCTGAAAAGCGAGGTGTGCTGTGATTGGCCAGCTATCCAGTGCGTTGTGATTGGTGATTGAATACATCAAGCGTATGACGGAAATGTTAAGCCCCTTACCATACGGTGATGATGCATTTGTGATCGGAGAAATGACAAACAACAAGCGCTACTCTACACTGCTTAAAACTCGCGTTTGAATCATCAGTGGCAAATTCTTTAAATATAAAAAACGTACTTACAGTCTGAGAGTCAGAACAGCCGGAATTGTAGTCTACTCTACCAGGATCATGAAACAGTCCTCCATAAAATGCGCTGGACACATCGGAATATTTGGGTTGAAGTGTTCTAGAACAGTGTTGTAAATACAACTTCACCACTGATTTCTAGTCGTGTAATTTAAATTGCATCATATGACCCCTTTAAAACAGGTTTATAGTGCACACAAAATATTTATTTTTATAAGAAAATGTACTATGTGAAGAAAAATTGTGTGTCTGCTTGTTTCCAGATGGAGATAGAAAAACTGAAGAAGATTGTACAATCAACATGAAATCTGGCATCCTGAACTGGACTGATGGCTCCGCTGATGCATCACGAGTGGAAAGCGACCTTCAGATGGAGGGTCGGATATCGTTCATGTCGTCTTTACACTCACTGACTTACTCCACAAATTGTAAGATTCAAATATTTGCACATGAGTTTTTTTCTAGGTTTAGAAAAGTGTAATTATGACATATGTATATGTTTGTTTTCCTCTTTCTATTTTTTTTTGCCAACAAAAATGATTGAAGCCTTACTTTACTACTGTGCTGGATATGCAGTCTGTGCACTTATTGAGAAGTGCAGTGGATTATCCATTCAATACTACTGAGTCTGTATAAATGTTGGATTATGTTATTTCCTTGCTTTTTTATGACATGGGTTAGTTTTTAAAAAAAAA